CCCTGCAGAGGTTGCAGCTCCCGCAGCAGTGCCACAGCTCTCGGCCACAGCCCCGCAGCTTGCCGCAGCTCCCACAGTGCCAAAGCCGCCCGCCACAGCCCCGCAGCTTGCAGCTCCCGCAGCAGTGCCAGAGCTCTTGGCCACAGCCCCGCAGCTTGCAACAGCTCCAGCAGTGCCAGAGCTCTCTGCCACAGCCCCGCAGCTTGCCGCTGCTCCCACAGTGCCTGCAGTGCTCTCCGCCACAGCCCCGCAGCTTGCAGCTCCCACAGTGCCAAGTCCACCGGCCACAGCCCCGCAGCTTGCAGCAGTGCCACAGCTCTCTGCCACAGCCCCAGGACAGGTTGCAGCTCCCGCAGCACCGGGCACAGCCCTGCAGCTTGCAGCTCCCACAGTGCCAAGTCCACCGGCCACAGCCCCGCAGCTTTCAGCAGTGCCACAGCTCTCCGCCACAGCCCCAGGACAGGTTGCAGCTCCCGCAGGACCGGGCACAGCCCCGCAGGTTGCAGCTCCCGCAGCAGTGCCACAGCTGGCCACAGCCCTGCAGCTTGCAGCGCCCACAGCTCCCGCAGCCCTTGTGCAACGACCGAGTGACAACGCAATCGACAGGCGCATGAGACGAATCATGGCCCCGAGTGCGAATGGCAGCTTCAAGGTTTCAGAACACATACGGAACCTCTGGAATGACATCAACACTCGGGATCAGGTGGTGAACATGTTCAGTCAGTGCTCGTGGGACCCAGACAACAGACTGTGCAAGCAAGCTTGTTTTTGTTCTTATATTTAAGGGGTTTAGGGTTTATATAGGATTACATTATAGGGCTATACAATGCCACTATAGGATCAGTTCTGTCGCCGCTACCGGGTGGAGACCAAGCAAGACACGGAGAGGGAAGTTTCCATACCGTTCGAGTACTTGTCGGAAGCGGAGATGGCTGAGCATCCTTACAACATGGAGCCGAACCATGCCTTACATATATTATATATATAATATAGGGTTTATAGGGTGTATTATATATATATATAATACACCCTATAAACCCTAAAGCCTGGAAATATAGGCTAGGTGATGCTATACCCAAAATCCTATCTAAACCTTAGCCCTATATACTTAATTTACTCTAGTTAAAGCTCTCTGCACCAAGGGCCGACATCAACAAAATCGTTCAGCGTGGCAAGAGCAATCCTGCGAAGTTCATGAGGCAGGCTGTTATAACATGCATGTCTCCATCCGTTTTAAAATTTGTATATACATGCATGCAGGCATGTATACAATACAATATAATATAAATTAAACCCTGAACCACTAAACCCTAGACCCTTATAATGTAAGCCATCTAGTATATCTGCATGTGATACAGGTGGCACACCTTCAAGTCGGAGACATTGACCTACTTCGTGGAGAAGAAGGTGGAGGGCCACTACAAGCATCTCGCAGCAAAGCTTATATAGGGGTGAGGGTTATATTTAATGTAGATCCCCTAAGCCAAGCCCTAAACCCCCTTGTAGATCCCTAAATAGACTGCGGCTTAAGCGCGAACCGTGCCTCTGCCGTTGCCCGAGGGAGCGAGCGAGTGCGTCCTCGACGCAGACACAGGAGCTGATTGTGCAGGGTGGGTTCGGAGACGAATCCATGACTATGGATGTGGATACAACGCTTTTGCAACCCCAAGGCTTGGTGCCCACCACCAGCATCCTAGCAGCAGTGAGTGCTTGATCCGAATATATATAATAAACCTTAAACCCTATGTGGGGTTTAGGGTTTCTATATTATATACCCTAAACCACATTAACCCCTAAATCCCTTAACCCCAAAACCCTAAACATCGAAACCCCTATATAAACCCAAAAACCCTATAAACCCTAAACCCCCAAACCCTAAACAGTTCAACCCAGGTGAGATGTCGAACCCAGCCCGTATGTCCAACTGGGACTCGGAAGAAATCCAAAAGGAGGCTGTCAAGGTGTTGAAAAAACTGGGCTTTCCGAGCTCTGAAGGCCCAGCAAATGCTGGCACCAATCTTCCGAAGATTTTGACCTGCCTTTCCCGTCGCTCAGAGAAGATCACGGAGACACAAGATGAGCTCGCTGAGCACAAAAAGGTGCTTATGGCGAAAGGCAAGCTGACGACGACAGTGGACCGGATCCTAGCCTGAATTTAGAGAAAATATATCCCTAAACCCTAAACCCTAAACCCTAAATCTATATTATATATATTTTTGTAATTTAATATTATACCCTGAACCCCACCACAACCTTTTATCAGGATGGACGCGAAGCTTACGGAGATGTTCAACAACCTGGAAACCAAATCGGCACAGGTCGAGGATTTGCACATGAGTGGAGTCGTCGAAGGCTACGATTCGAGCCCAGACTTGCAACTTGTACGATATATATATATAATATATATATATATAAATATAATATAAGATTTTTTTAATAGAGGGAAAGTATATATACAGTGGTCTCTAACCTCTACAATATTCCTTACCCGACACGTACACACACACACACATATATATATATAAAGCCCAGGAATGTCAAAGCTGAATCTTGTGGAATAGCTCTCTAAGGAGTTTCAATGAACTGATCGGTATGGTTCAGGTTTTAAAGTATGCCATGCATGGAAAAACCAAAGATTCGCCTGCAGTATGAGTGCATTGTGAAGGAATGCCAGAGGCTGCTGCTCAGCACAGAAATATAAGATGACACCACCTTTGCATGGCCTTGTTTTGCATGCAGTCAATCTTGTCAAGTCTGCAAAGCTGGATCCTGCATGTAACTTCCCCTGTAAAACTCCATGTATAGTCACCCATGACACTCCTAAAGTCCGGAACCGACATGAAGCGCAGATTCATGTAGACCACGAAACCTCCATAGCTTGGTATCTCTTCTGCATGTGTGGGTTACCTGTACCCGAGTCAAGCTTATCACCGGAGTCCTGCCATCCTGATGTTGAAGATTTCGGATTCTTGCCAGAGCCTGTGCAAAGCTGAGGGGGTTGAGGCTTCGTGGCACAGCTTATAGGGCTCAATTGTTTGGGCTTAGGGTTTAGGGGCCTAGGGTTCCAGGTTCAGGGTTCGAGGGTTCGGGCCAGGCGCTACATTACATCACGGCTTCGATGTGGGTTGTCTTCTGTGTTATAATGTGTGCAATCCCGTTAATTCATGGAGGCCCTGCTGGGCTAGAAACTTTTTAAACCCATTAGGTGCACATTAGAATGATCTGTGCTGTTGAAACCGCAAAATCCGAAAACCCTAAGCCCTATAAACACCGAAATCCGCAAACCCTAAGCCCTAAACCCTGTTCCCTAAACCCCCAAATCCGAAAAACCGCAGCCCTAAACCCTGTTCCCTAAACGCCAAATTCCCAAAACCCGAAAAGCTTGTTCCCTAAACCCCAAAATCCGAAACCCCAAGCCCTAAACCCCGTTACAAATCCGAAAACCCTAAGCCCTAAACACCAAAATCCCAAAACCGGAAAAGCTTGTTCCCTAAACCCCAAAATCCGAAACCCCCGAGCCCGAAGCCTATTCCCTAAACCACCAAATCCGAAAACCCTAGGCCCTAAGCCTTGTTCTCTGCGCCCGACCCTAAAAAGACACAGCCCTAAAGCCTGTTCCCTAAACCCCAAAATCCGAACACCCTAGAACCCTAAGCCCTATAAAGCCTGTTCACTAAACCCCAGCCCGAAACCCTGGTCTCGAAACCCAAAACTCGAACACCCTAAGCCCTAAACCCTGTGGCCTAACTCAACTTCCGAAAACCCTTATATAGCACAATATAAGTATACAAGGATGGTCGCCTCCTGGGACATGGAGACCCGAGCGAGGACCGCAAGAGTGGCAGGGATAACAGTATGGCTTGTATATAGACTAGCTTTGAAGTAGTGTGAAGATCGACCCTAATACATATACTATTTCTCTCTCTCTCTCTCTCTCACGATCTATGAATCGTGGACTCCCCAAGGGGTTCTCTGCATGGGAACGATGAACTTCATCCGCCAAGACGGTTGCATGTTCCTGCTCCCATTTGGCACAGTGCTCTCATCGATGGATGAGGATGTAGAAACTGCCCCCACCACAGACCAGTCCATCGTGATGTGTGTTGCCAACTGGTCCGCAATCGGTCCACATGTTGTCGTGCAACATACTTATAAAACGGTTTACAGGATGTGATGAAAGTTAGGGTGTAGGGTCATCAGGTTTAGGGTGTAGGGTTCTTTAGAGAAGCTGGCCGAATGTTTATGGGGTCATCTCGAGTTACAAGGATTTAGAGTAGAAAGAAGTCAAACCATGTATCAATTCCCGGGTGTAGGGTCATCAGGTTCAGGGTTTAGGGTTCTTTAGAGGATTTAGAGTAGAAAGAAGTCAAACCATGTATCACCCACCCTAAACCCAGAATATCTATATATAACCCTAAACCCTAAATCCTATAATATATATATATATATATGTATATTATAGCCTTTATATGCTATAGTTTTATGATGCACTATATCGCATGCCCGACTGCTCCACTTTAGGGTGACATGGGGTTGGGATATAGTTATATTCTGATATACATGTTTAGTTTGTTTATATATATGTATACTATATAACACAATATTAGAATTTTTATATATCATATTCTAACCTAAACCCTAAACCCCTAGACCCTATACTTACAACTTAAAGCTGGGGCAACAACAGTGCTTCCACATTGTGAGCAGGAGGTCGCTGAATGGATCCCCTGCGCCAGAGTGGTGCTACATAGAAGTTCAAACATAAATTAGACCATATTACAACCCGGCCTAAACCCTAAGCCTCTACACTAACATTAATGTACGAGTTCGCCGTGAGGCTTTGGATGGTTAGTTTCGGGTCCCGGGTTTGGGTTTTGGGTTTTAGGGTTTTGGGGTTTAGGGTTTTGGGGTTTAGGGTTTGGGGTTTAGGGTTTAATTACGGTGCTTACAAAGATCCTGCATTTTTTTTGTACTCTGCCGGCATTTTTGCTGTTCTGGTTTTCACCCGAGCTTATCCTACTTCGCAGGGTCCTATATATGTTCAATGTTGATGCACATGAACGATGATTTGTGTGAGGCTTGTTTTCTACTGTACATGCATCGACCGGCGCACCCTGCTTATGTTCATGGAATGGGTGATGAACTTATGGGGGGATCTTGCACTTCTCCTAAACCGAAATCGTGGGAAATAGATGTATTATATGCCCGATGGTGCAAGATCCCATTCCATGTCCAAACCTTACCAGGATGATGCACTACCGTC